GTCTGTCAGCGTTTGTGTCGCGCCACCGACGACCTTGGCACTAGTTGTGTCATTGTGTGTCGCGCCCGCGACAGTCGTCGCACTGGTTCTGTCATTGTGTGTCATTCGTTATTTTGTTAAAAAAAAATAAAACTTCCTTAGTTATGAGTGTTTCGACCAATTCCACCTTAAACGGGACCTTAATTCGTCATATAATACATTATAAATATATTAAACTCGTTGTCGGTCTAATTTTACTCTTTTTTCATGTAAAATAACGAATTTACAAAAATTTTATATGATCTTTCCATTTTCCAAAAAAAAAAAATAAAGAAGAAGTTGTTATTTGAAAAAAGAGTTTTGTGATGAGTGTTTGGACGCTCTAACAACTTAAAACTATCGTTCCAATAACATGTAACACGAATATACATGCGTTGTCAAGTAATTCGACCGAAAAAACCATATAAAAAATGCGTTTTGTTCCGAAAAATAACTATAACGATTGTACATTTGTTATAATATTAAAAAACGATTGTACATTCGTTATTTCAGTTTTTCTTCCAAAATCCACCTTAAACGAGACCTTAATCGTCATATAATACATTATAAATATATTAAGCTCGTCATCGGTCTAATTTTAGTCTTCTTTCATCTAAAATAACGAAGTTACAAAGATTTTACATGATCTTTCCATTTAAAAAAAAATTAAAAAAAAAAATAAAGAAGAACTGTTCTTATTTGAAAAAAGAGTTTTGTTGTGGGTTTTTCGACGCTCCAACACCTTCAAACTATCGTTCCAATGACACGTAACATGAATATACATGTGTTGTCAAGTAATTCGACCGAAAAAACCATAAAGAAGACGTATTTTGTTCCAAAAAACAACTATAACGATTGAACATTCGTTATAACATTAAAATATGAATGGACATTCGTTATTTCAGTTATTCTTCCAAAATCCCCCTAATCCCCCTTAAACGAGACCTTAATCGTCATATAATACATTATAAATATATTAAGCTCGTAATTGTTCTAATTTTAGTCATCTTTCATGTAAAATAACGAATTTACAAAGATTTTACATGATCTTACAATTTGTAAAAAAAAAAATAAAGAACAAGTGTTGTTATTTTTTAAAAAAAGAGTTTCGTTGTGAGTGTTTCGACGCTCCAACACCTTCAAATTATCGTTCCAAAGACACGTAACATGAATATACATGCGTTATCAAGTAATTCGATCAAAAAAACCAGAAATAAAGCGCGTTTTTTTACGAAAAACAATAACGATTGTATATTCGTTATAGTATTGAAAAAACGAATGTACAATCGTTATTAGCACTGTCAAACGGGCCGGCCCGGTCCGGTCCGCTCCGGCCCGCGCTGGCCCGCAGTTCAAACGGGACGGGCCAAAATGGCCCGCATTTCTACGGGCTGGGAAATCCATAGCCCGTGGCCCGCCCGCGGGTTTTATTTATTTATTTATTTATTTATGGTATTCGTACTTTTATATATTTTTTTGGTTTGTTTATCCTTATATTTACTAGTATATTAATAAACTAGTAAGGTTTCAAGTGTAATGATATTAAATATTTGTCATCTAGTTATAGGGTATTCACGCGCAGGAGCGACTTAATTGACATAAAAGATTATTTGATTTATTAATATATTTATTGTGTAAAAAAATGTTTCATGTGCAAATTAGAAGTTATAAGTAAAATAAAAAATAGTAAATTTAAATAATATAATTTTTTTAAAAAAAGAAAAAAGAAAAAACAAGCCAGCCCGCGGGCCAGCCCGCGTCAGCCTAAGGGCCAAACGGGGCGGGCCAAACGGGGCGGGCCAAATAGGCCCGCGATTGAACGGGCTGGCCAAGCAAAGGCCCAAACCCGTCCGTTTAAGCGGGCGGACGGACCAGCCCGCGAGCCACCGGCCCGTTTGACAGTGCTAATCGTTATAGTTGTTTTTTCGACCAATTCCACCTTAAACGAGACCTTAATTCATCATATAATACATTATAAAGATATTAAACTCGTTATCGGTCGAATTTTAGCCAATGTTCATGTAAAATAACGATTTTACAAAGATTTTACATCATCTTTTTGTTTTTCAAAAACACAAAATAAAGAACAAGTGTTGTTATTAAAAAAAAAAAAAAGAGTTTTGTTGTGAGTGTTTCGACGCTCCAACACCTTCAAAATATCGTTCCAATGACACGTAACATGAATATACATGTGTTATCAAGTAAATCGATCGAAAAAACCAGAAATAAAGCGCGTTTTGTTACGGAAAGCAACTATAACGATTGTATATTCGTTATAGTATTGAAAAAACGAATAAAAACGAATGTACAATCGTTATAGTTGTTTTTCGACCAATTCCACCTTAAACGAGACCTTTATTCATCATATAATACTTTATAAAGATATTAAACTCGTTTATCGGTCGAATTTTAGCCAATTTTCATGTAAAATAACGATTTTACAAAGATTTTACATCATCTTTCCATTTTTCAAAAACAAAAAATAAAGAACAAGTGTTGTTATTTCAAAAAAGAGTTTCGTTGTGGGTGTTTCGACGCTCCAACACGTTCAAACTATCGTTCTAATGATACATAACATGAATATACATGCGTTGTCAAGTAATTCGATTGAAAAAACCATAAAGAAAGCGCGTTCGTTAAGATTTTCAACGTAGTGAATGTACATTCATTATTTCATAAATTATAACGAATTTACATTCGTTATGGTTATATTTTTATTAAATACAACTATAACGATACTATATTCGTTATATAATACATTACCAATATATTACTCTCGTTATAGGTATAATCATATTCATTTTTAATGTAAAATATACTAGTAGAAAAATATAAAATATACTAGTATAACGATTCTTAATTATCTATCTATTTTTAAAACGAAACAAGTACTTTTATTTCGTAAAACGAGTTTCGTTATAAGTATATGTGTGAATATATATATATATATATTTTAATAAAAAAAATTGAATAGAAAGGCCCGCGACAGCTTTGTTGTTGCGCTCCTGACCAGGCGCCGCGAGCTTGCGCAGTTCAATTTGGGTGTCGCGACTGCGATACGAGCGAGTGTCGCGCCCGCGATGTCCTGGAAGCAACCTTCCTCGCAGTGCCGGCTCTTGGGCAAGTTTCCCAAGGCCATTGCCTAGGGCCCCAAATCAATTGGGGCCTCATTTTTATGTTTTTTTTTAACATTTTATGGAATTTCAATAACAAAATGAAAAATACAATTAAGATCCATAACTTATTGAAGATTGATCCGTTGGTTGGTTGATTTCCAGCGAACTAATTTATTATACCATGATACTATTTTTCGAAATTACAATTGTGTCTCTCGATTGTTTATAAAATGAATTGAAGAAAGAAGTTTTATTTATTTATTATTATAATTAATTTTTTTGTGAGTATTTATCTCTTTATACTTCTTTAATTCACTGCTACATTGATATTATATTGTTTTTTAATTTGTAAATTATTTTTATTTTAATCAAATTTAATAAAAATATTTTATTATCTCATTTGCGATGTGAATGTGATGGGTCAATGAAAAAAAAAATTATGAGTTTTATAATATTGAAAATGAATATTGAATGATTTGTCTAGGACATCGAAATTTCTAGAGACGGTCCTGCTTCCTCGATCCGTTTGGTGTCGTGCCCGCTATACACATAACACATGTTATGAGAAAACCATCAGATAACGAATGTACATTCATTATGAAACTGCATAACGACTATACATTCGTTATGCAAAATAAGATGCAATATAATCTCAAAAAAAAAAA